TGATAAATTATTTCGCTTCCTTTTAATATTTTATGAATTTTAAATAAAAGTTAATAAAACATTTATTTATTTGTTATTAGTAAATAAAATATGAAGGACTGAACTACTTCAGAACGGTATATGTTGAAATGACTTTTCAAAACGCCATCTACACGCTCTTCCTATTCCCAACATTATTACGTGTATTTTCCATATTCCTAACATAATTACGTGGATTTTCCATATCTATACTCTAGAGCAGGGTTTCTTAAACTGTTTGTCGCGACCTCCAAGGGGGTTGCGGGACCTGCCGCAGGGGGTCGCCAAAAATTTTAGCAGTTTTGATATTTTTTTAACTTATAATAATTTTACAATTACCAAATATTTTTACCCAATGTATCTGAAAATAGATAAAGATAAGACAATATAATAACAAAGAGAAAAAAAACGCAAACGTTTCGAATTCTTTTTATAACATAAACGTTCATTTTCCTTGATTCGCACGTGACGCTGTCATTTCGTCTGTTCCTTTAAAATTTTCACATTGTTCTATGTCTTAAAATTAGAAATTACAGTTAATGACCTAAAACTGCAATAGTATATTACAGTAATATAAGGTAGTTCTCTCACCTTCTTGGCGTGCTTTCACGGTGTGTTGGTCTGCACACTGGGCCGGTATTCCAGAGGCCCGCGGTTCGATTCCCGGTTAAGGCGTTGCTCATTTTTCACTTCTCCTGCTTCCAAAAAAATACCTAATGTCTCTGCAGTACAAGTGAAAAAAATGGTCAGTTTCACTCACGCGTGTGTCGAATTTGCGCAATACTTATGGGGTCCCACAAAATTTTTGTGAATATTATGGTGTCCTTGGGGTCGCGAAAAAATCTCAGTGATAAAAAGGGGTCGCGACTGAAAAAAGTTTAAGAACCCCTGCTCTAGAACAGTGTTCCTGATACCGTTCAGGCTCATCGCCCACCTTTATAAAGCAATGAATGCTCAACGTCCCCTGGGAAATTACATCTATATTTTTTTCAGAAATGTGCAATAAATATAAAGCGGTAATAATAAGGTTGGGGATTAACGAAACATATTTGAACATTAATAAAATTAAGAGTAAACGCGAAGACGTATTTAACTAAATAATATGAATGACAGGAATACGAGTTAAACAAATGACATACTGTTGCGTGCATACGGGCTCTTTACGAAATGAATGCATAAGTCCGATGAAAAATGAACAAAATTTATTATTATCACAGAACAAAAGCGCTTAAATTTCCAGAGATATTCGTGCAGTATTACAATATCTCCAAGTAGTTATCTTTTAACTACCTAAACGTTCAAGAGAACTTAATTCAAAACCGCTAGAGAATCCGCGAATTCGCTACAGTCAACAAAAACAGTTTTCTAAACAAACTCTTAAAACAACAACTAACTAAATAACGACGAATTGAGATTTCTATGTCTATGCCGTAACGCAATTAAGAGGCAATCGGCTTAGTGCAGCCTTAACCAATATATTATAAATAGTGTATCTTTAATGATGAGTTGAATCCAGTAAGATGAAACGTACTTTTTGCACCTAGTGCAGAGTTTCTAGAAGTCCAATTTTGGGGAAAAAATTGTAGTGAGCGTGAGCGGGGCTGAGGCCCGAACCCACGATGTGATCTGCATCTTGAGGATTTCTGCCGATCGGCGATGCTCGTCTTGATAGAAGTTGCGAATTGATCTTGATCTGCAAAGTTCAAAATCATCTCAATGGCTTGAAAAGTTAGACAAAGTTTCTGCATATTTGATTTAGCTGATTTAATTCTCTGAGCTATTGTGGTTATTGATTTCATGAGATAAAGGGTTTTCTGATCTTTGAAAATGTTATTTGATTTCTACTAAATTTTCCTATGGGGTTTTCTGCTTAATTTTGTCACTGTAAAGTTTTTTAGGTATTTCTTGATTAGTTTGGGATGAAGCTTGAATGAATTTGGGGAAGTCATCTTTAGTCGGAATTTCTTGTGGTTTTTGTATCTTCTCTAAATGATTGAAGCTTTTTCTGTATACCTTACAACCACGATAAGAAGAAACGTGATTTTCGTGACAGTAAATGCAAGTCGGTTTTTCATCTGGTTTTAATTTACAGTTATTTTGGGAGTGTTAGAACTCCTGGCAACTGAAACATTGAATTGGGCGTTTTCTGGGCTGATAATGTTCTATTGTGATATTGAATCCGAATATATTGTTTAATTGATTAATTTTCTTCCCTGCAGAATTTCTTTTTAGTTCAAGGAAAAATATAGGGTAAACGGATAATTTGGTCTTCTGTTTTCTTCGTGAATTGCTTTACTTTAATTATAGGTAAGCTTCTGCGTTCTAAGTCTGCGTGAATTGCTTGATCAGTGTAGGGTCTTGGGATATTCTTAAGTATAACTTTAATTGATGAGGCTGAGGAAATTTGGTACGTATGAAAATTAATCTGTGCTTTCTGGAATTTATCAACTGTAGCTTTATAATCGGCTTCGGTTAGCGTAAAGGAAAATCTGTCTGGCTTTGATTGTAACTTCAAATTATATTTCTCTGAGCATTTTGTCTATTTCAAGCCAATCAACATCGTTTTCCGGAATGACTAATTGGGCAATTTTCGTTTTATTTTCTGGGTTATTCTGTGTTGTAGTTGTATGCGTTTCATCTGTAACTCCCATAGCTTCGTTATTTTCGTTAAGAGTTTCAAATGTGTTATTTTGCGGAATATCTGGTGGTGGGGTAGACTCGGTATTTTTCGCTGTTCTCTTTGGAGTTTGCCAATCGTTCTGATTTACTGTTTTATCATCTGTTTTAGAATTTGCGGGCTCCGGAGTGTTCTGAATGCTTGCTAAAATGAACTGATTTTGTTTAATTTCTTCTTGTAACTTTGAACGCATTCCTATCGATGGTGGAGGATAAATGTCTTCATAGACTCAATACAGTTTAATTTATTGGTGATTTCGTTTTCTAATTTTATCGCGAGATCTTTTGGGTTAGTCGGAAGCTGAGTATTAAGATATTCTTGCGAGATAGCTTCTGTTAAATTAGGAAAAATGCTGCAAAATTGGAAGGAAGGAGGGTTTGAATTTCTTAGTATTATTGACTATTTTCTTAGGACTTCCTGCGGTTTTCTTTTCTTTGCTCTGGGATTTACTTTTCTCAGTAGAAATTAAAGTAGCAATTAAACTTTGAAGCGCCGGGTCATCTGAATCAATTACAGGCATATTTTTGGATGTAGTCGATTTTCCTGAATAATTCGAATAAGTAGAATCATTATCGCTATCACAATCGCTGAAAGTAGCATGCCAAGGAATTTTGCCCCTATCAGGTAGTTCGCTATTACTGGCCATATTTACGAGAACAAGCAAAAATAATATTTCCAAAAATCAAGAAGCGCAGTCTGAGACTCGTGCGTCGCAATCCTCATTTTTTAACTCAGGTCATTTTTTTGATCATATTATACCGCAGAATGCAAGAAACCCTATCTATAACTTCCAACCTACGAATTGAGAGGTTTTCATGCCGCTTATCTAAGCTTTTTAAATGCGCGAGCATTTTCTAGCACTTTCTCGAAATCAAAAAGAGAGATTTATTTATTAAATGTTAAATGCACGTGCTCTTGTATTTTTAATTTTCCGGCTTAGCTTTCCTTAAATATTCATCACGCGCTGCACTGCGCGGGGAATAAAACAATTTAATTTATAATTCTACTAACATTAACTAATTAAATACCATATACGTAGCAATATGAATTTAATGGGAAAGATGAGCCTCATGAGCTTTCATCAATTTTTCATTATTCGGCTTTTCACTTTTCGGATTAATGTCTAGGATAAATTTCAGGTATCTTCTTTTGCAGCTCAAACTGTTGATATCTCCAGATGCTAATTTAAATTTCTGATTCTGGGTTACTGTTAACGCAGTAAATTCTTCCGAGTATGGATGCTTCTGAAATCGCATAAGAAAAAGGTTCCGAAATCCAGTCGGGTACATCCACATGTAAGATATCTTGAAATTATTTCTTGAAGTTTAATTCCAGAGCTTCCAAATGCTGGTTCTAAATGTTATCTGGTGCCCCTTTCCCAATATAACTTGCAGCTTCAGTCAAAGAATATGTATATAAAGAATGAAAGCTTCCATAGACTTCCATAGCTTTCATCGTAATGTAAACCAGTTTAACCACTGAACTGCTATAGGAGGAACAAAATTCTTGTTGCCGAATTGCCAAGTGTACAGTAAACTGAGGATACGATACAAATTCAAAGAACTTAACGGATTCGTTCTTTGACAAACCTTTTTCCCGATAATTTAAACTCAGGTTTTCGTACCTTTCTTTTACTCGAAATAAAAAATCCATCAATTAATCTGCTTTCGCGGATGACTGATTTGATTTGCGTGGATACAGAAGGAAAAAAATGGTGTCACAGAAGTATGAACTCTTGTCAAACGTGACCTTTGACCTTCGAAATCGGTTCGACAACTATTCCGCGCATGCAAAAAAAGGTATTAAGTTTGAATTTGCTTCGACAGCTATTTCACGCACGCGAAACTGTTTCCTTCTACAATGTGAGGAGCTTTGGCGGAGCTTTCCTTCTTAACAATACACATCCTTTGGCTTCAGTCGCCATCCTAGGCAATTCTGTAGTGCCCACCAAGGGGCAGTGTCACTCACTTTCAGAATCACTGCTCTAGACGTTCATTTTCAATCTTTCAGAAGTTTCTTTCCAAATGGAAAACTGCGCAGACACTGAATTTGAAATAATATTCCGTTATGAAAATCGTCTCTTTTATTTATGTTCTCAGCGGTTAATTCACACTATCAAAATAGCATCAGATGCGTCACAAAATGTGACAGTCTTCAATTTGCTTCTCACAAATGACTAGTCAAACCATTGCTGCATCCAAAGAATTCATTACTCTTCCCAACAAGTCGGCTTATCAACTTCCCACATATATAACAAAAAAATATAAAAACATAACATAAAAATTTACGAAAGAACATTTCTTACCACATGATGAGGTAGACAATTCGCATAACAATTTCATTGAGAACGACGAAGAAATGAACCATAATGCGACCGTCTGGTCCCATGTTGCCGGCAAAGAGACCGAAAGCAATGCAGAAGACAATTATTCCTGCATAAAGAAAAATATATAATTTTACTTTTATAGAACATATAATTTAAGGTATTTTATAGAACATAGAGTTATTTGCAAACAGTTTAGCTAATGCCATATGTGAGTATAGACAGGGGAGAAAGTATTAGATACAAGATAAAATGTTCAAAATGAAAATGAACGTAATTTTATTATAAAAATTTATTAGATTATAATTTTGGTGTATAAAAACCATGTACAAAATAATTGTCAATCTCATATTTAAATAAATATTGGACATAGTAACATAAAAATTTTATCTGAAAATTCACTTCCACAGTTTCATTACAACTGATACAAGTAATAGAATACTCAAATTTAGATACTAGGTAAGATTTTTTAATATTTTTTTGTAACTCACTTTCTAATCTGGGTATTCATGAATTAGGGTATTTCCATACAAAAATTGGAACAACTCTAATTCCCATGTAAGATTCAAGAAGATCCAAAGAGTAAAATTCCACAGAATTTAAACTTTCATTTAAAAATTTAAATTTTAAGGAGGTCGGTTTACGATTAAGGTAGATGTAAATTAGCAATAAAAGCGTTCATTAAAATTTTAATTTGAACGCAGTATGATTCCTCTGAAAAATGTTTTTACTATGAATATCATAGGCAGCAAAAAAGCTTGTAAGATAATCATCGAGGTATCAACATGGGTGTCCGTCGATAACATCGCGGACGAAAACGCCGCGGAGAAAACAACGCAAGGCGAAAACGTCGTGCTACAAAATATCGTGGGAGAAAACATCGCAAAGAGAAAACATCGCAGTTCTAAAACATCGTGGTACAAAACATCATCGTCGAAAATAAAGCGATTCAAAAACTTCGCAGTTTAAAAACATCGTCGTCGAAACTATCGTGGTAAAAAATAAAGTATCTACAAATCATCGCATGACCATAACATCGCATGCGATGTTTTCGGCTGTAACCATCAACATGATAATACGAAAATTCTTCAACGCAAATAATTTTCTTGTTTCTGATACATCATACAAGCTTACACATGTACAATGTATCCCCAAAGTGTAGACGCTTAATAAAAGAAAGGAAATTTTTAGCAGGTTTATTATTAAATTTATCATTTACATTACATGCTTCGGTTTAAACATTCTTTAATTTGATTTTCACATAAATCAGCTTGAGGAAAATAGGCTGGAGCCAACTGAATAATCACCGATTTCTTGAGACACATACTTTTTCTTTTTACTTTCCTTGAGAATATGTGTGTGAGTGATTATGGCAAAGCCTCGAGGGCTATCTGCCTAAGAGGAGGGATGCCTTCGTGGAGGACTTTCTAAGGGAAACTGGCTCGTATACACGTTACACATGGGGAAAACCACGAAAACACCCATGCAGCCAGCCCGTTCGCGGGATTCGAACCTCGGACCGAACTACCAGTGTTCAGCGACTTTACCGCTCGGCCGCTGGTGGGCCCCTTGAGAATATGAGAATATCTAATAGTTATTTATAATAACTACTACTAATCAATACCTTATACTAATTGACTGACAACAATGCAGCAGTCAAAGGCTAACACAATGGCAGAATCTAACACAAGCCATAAGCTCTACACACACACACACACACAAAAAAAAAAAAAAAAAAAAAAGTGATGTGATGTGTACACCACATGACTTCCTTGTACGGAATATTAAATTATACGCATTTTTTCTCGCATTGCATTTAAACTTATTTCCTCGAATTTCATTAGAGATATATTTCTCATTCAATTTATTCAGTTCTCACTTAGCGGCAAGGCAAAACTACATAAAAACTCAAAATATCTATATTAAAAATGGAAAGATATAGATAAACATAAAACACCAAATACACTTAAAACAATTTTTTAAAAAATTTATACAATTAAAATTACAGTTTCTACGCAAAAACGAGCAATTCAGTCAGCGGGCAAGAAGGCAGATTTTTCGGTGCACAAAACTGAAAGTTTACTTTTGATCTCACTCGGCAAAAAGCCACTGAAGGCGTGGAAGCTGATTTAATTTGTTGTGGACGCTATGCTGAGTCAATATATGGGATAGTTTAATAACTCAAACGATAATTCCAGAATGGATTAAGCATAATTTAATTCACAATAATAAAAGAAGACGTTATTTTGTTGTTGCGAAGCTTAGTTTCTCTAGATTGACAACAAATCCACTATTCTTCTAAGTTTCAAATGTAAATTAATATGGCTACTGTGGTAAAAGAATTAGGCTTACCAGCACTTAAACAACTTGTTGATAATTTTACAGCTATAACATGCAGGTTAACTAAAGGCATAAAAAGCTTAATCGGAAGATAAGAACAATATAATTCAATCATTTTTAAAGCAAAAAGTACACAATTCATAAACATATAAGAATAAAAAGACGGAGCTCACTGAGCCACATAACATTGTGGATATATCTTATGTGCTTTTGGCGCAGCCGATTGCAACCAAAAAGGGAGGTGCGCATCTTTATGCTGTAGCAGTCCCAAATACAAAATTTCAACGATCTGAGGCTATTCGTTTTTGAGTTATGCGAGATACATACATACATACGTGTGTACGTACAGATGCCACGAAAAAAAAATCTCTTCTGAATCCATTTTAAATCAGTTTTATAATTTATTTGGGGAAAAAGAGTCCTTTATTCTGTCCTTACGTACAGATGTCACCCGAAAACATTGTTAAATTGCATTCGATGGCGGTCAAAATGGAAATTTTCATTGGAATATGGTACTCGGAATTTTTCGTGATTACAATACGTCCTTTACTTCGTACAAGAAAGTAAAAGGGGAGGGGCAGTTTTATATCTCTCGTTCTACTGGACCGATGGACGAAATTTAACTTCCGCTTTTTATGTCTCAAAAGCGCGACTTACGATATATATTAGGTTTAAATATAACGTTCTTTAAACATAGATATTTTGATATAAAATCGGATTTTTTTTAATGACATGTCGATTTTTTTTTCATATTTTGATCCTACGCCTCAAATTTTGCAAAAGTCTCACGAGTAGTTTTCAAAAATCAACTCTCAAAATTTTAACTCGTATCTTTCAATTGAATTTTGTACATATTTATTGATATCCCTTTTCTGTTAAACTTACTTGATTCCAATTCGAAATTTAGGTTGAATCCGAATAAAATTCGCTGATATTTTCTAATTTATTTTTTTAATTTGCATTTTTTGTTAATTTGTATAAATTTTTGGAAAATATTTTTGAAGTATAATTTATAAAATTCTTACTATCGACTTAAAGTCGATGTATTTCTAGACATATTTGTAAAAAAAAGAGTTTTTTGTTCACAATTTCCCAAGGTATACATGAATTTATATACTGGCGCGTTTCGAAATTTGGAATAGTTGTTGCAAGCGTTAAATGTGGTTTACGCACTTTGTTAAAATTATTTGAAAGAATGAATTATGCACAATTTTGTCCGCTCGTAGACAATGAGAGGAAGGAAAAGTAAGTTACCATAAATTAAAAATTATGCCAAATTATTCTTGGCGCAAACTGGAAAAAGTGCGCAAAGTATTTTTTTAAATTTCTCGGTGAGTTTCTCAACAAATTTTATAAAATTTAATATGTAGGTGTAATTTGAGTCTTAGAATCGAGATATGGAAGAAAATCGGGGTGTCATTTCAAATAAAGTCCGATTTTTGTCAAAAATTGTCAAAACTTTTTGTCAATTTTTATCTATGCTAGAACAAAGCTAATGCATCTTATAAGTAGCGCTTTTGAGACATGAAAAACGCAACTTAAATTTCGTCAATAAGGCCCAGTAAAACGGAAAATATAGAACTCCACCCTTTATTTCGCGTAGAGTGTACCCCCATGCTTATATGCTCAAACTTCAATCGAGTTTAAAGGTAGTTAGAAGAAAACTTATATTGTTTTGAATATGTATTATAAGTTAAACTATAAATAAACAGAAGTAAAAAATTTTCCGTTACACTTCTCTCACTGGAGAGAGACTTTGGAATATTTTATCTATACTCACTTAGCCATATCCACATCTATAAATAATGTTATGTATTAGTGATGTGCATGCATTTGTAGAAGAAATTGTTACTTTTGCTTTCCCTTCCATTCAAACTAAAAGTAACGCAGGCCAAAAAGGTTCGATACCTATTTTGCGCAGTCTAGTAGACATTCATATAGCTAAATAAAATAGCTATAATAAACAAGGCAACAACGATAATTTAATTTGTCTTAGCCGAATATCTTGCGAAGTTAATGCTCAGGGTTTTCTTTAATTTTTAGTGGGGCGAGAGGGGAATAGCCAAGATAATTATACTGAGAAACAAAAAAGAAATTAACGTAATACGAGCTATTTTCATTTGAAATATACAGCTAGAATTTAATACTTTTTTTACACTTCGCAGTTCTGATTTGAAGAAAATTAACTAATGCAGTTATCAATGTTTGGTTTAATCCTTTTCGCAAAACAACATATTTATGCAGCCTGTTACCCAAAATAAAAATTTAGGAAGAACCTCATTATCTTTTTTTTCCAGTAGAAATAATAAGTTTATAAAGATTTGCTTTAGTTCTTTTACACTTTACACAAAACAGAAAGTTTATGCAAATTCTCTTCAGTGTTAAGATTTTAATGCAGATGGTTGTCAATGTCACTATGAAGTTCTGTTGCATTCAAGTCAAATTTTCTCCTTTTTTTTAATTAAAATTTTTTTCTTTTTTTAATTAAAATTTTTTTTGCTTTATTTTATTAGCTTATTTCCTTATATATTTGATTATATTAAAAATAAATGAATAAATAAAAATTACAATACCGACCATATTTAAAACATTTTTCTTGTTTTTAATTAGTTTAAAAATTCTTTAATTAAACTATATTAAATGGATCAAAACTTAGGTTTATACCATTTTTTCACTTTATTCTGATTTATATAAAACCTAAAATATTATCATTTTAAGGTAAAAATAACTTTTGCTCGTACATACAGCTGAAATTCTTTGGGCGTTAAAGTTGTGAGGTTCACTTTCAAATTTTAAACATTTTATTAACTTAATTATTTCTACTTATGGTCAGTAGATGGCAGCACTAAATACTGCAAAAGGGTTCAATATAGAACAAAATTTTATCATTCGCGACGCCTTTTTATCAATAAAAATTTTTTCGCGACCCCAGATAGTAAATATAAAATAAAAATAAATATCCTCCCGTAAATAATTTATTGCTTTGGTAAACACTATACATATAAAAAGAAGCAGTTTAGGATTTATTTTAATCAAGCAAAAATCAAAGAAAATTCTAATGAGACGGATGTGTTTGTTTTCAGCTGCATAACAAATTAAATGTTGGTGCGATATTTGACATTGCTGGACATAAGCATCTTCAACATGTTTCAACGTTGAACGACATTTGGTTTTAATTAGTGTTAAAACTGAAAGTTTCATAAAAATATAAGTAGTTTCAATAATATAAGTAGTGTTGAATAAGAGAAGAACTAACTCCAATTCAGAATTCATCAAGGATTTTTGCGAAAACTCAAGTTTTAAATTTGAATCGCTGGATAGTTTTACAAATTCGCATTAATATCAATTCAATCAGTTTATCAATCAGTTTATTCATGTAAACATTTATTTCCGAATCCTTTCTCCCAAACCTGTTAGTTAAGAATTCCATAGCCTAAACGTAATTCCCTTTTGTAAGCGAAGTCCGAAAACGCCATCTTAGGCTACCCCACTTAATAGCGACTTCATGTAATTAAATTGATTTACTTTAAATAATGAGTGATTGTTATGAATAGCTGCTGCATACTGATCCCAAAATTCACGCCAATTACTTGAATCATCAAAGCACTTGTTTATTATAGTAAGTTTTGGCAACTTAACGGTATTTCTTCCATGAACAGCCATTGATTCATTCATTCATGCCCGTCGGAAATCGAATTACAGCGTTTGAATTTCCTGAAAATTCTTTTAATCCTTGAAAGCCCTGCACTTCCAGATCATTATCTGATCTTGATAATCTTGTGAAGCTTCAGCTTATAATTCAAGTTCTTCACTTAATGGATTTTCAATATCCTACTGAGTAAATCTCGTTTAACTATTAATTGCTCAAGAAGTTCATCTAAAGTTTCAAAAACCGATAGATGATCTTGTGTAGCATTTTTAATTTTTTAAAACAGTTTAGTTGTTAGAAAAGGCATTGCAGTTCTTTTTTTTTTAAGAGCTACTAATTCACTCATTATTATCAACAAGTAGATCATAGAATTCAAATAAAAAGCAATTTACCCAATTTCGATGAAATAGAACAAGAAGTTTAAATACTTATCCAAGAAAATCCAAGTAAATAATATCGAAGTGTAGCAAGTTTGATCTCATTTGAAACGATTTAACATAAATTCAAAGCACAGCGTAAGCATCGAATCGAATAATCAAAAGTATAAAACTGCGAGCTGATGCAACCGGAATGGATAATGATTTCACGGACTATCTAATAAAGTACTTCCAGGAATCTTAATGCGACATCGAAATTTCTACATGTGTTGTTCAGTGGTATATCTACAATAAACATTCAATATAGTTTTTAAAAAGGGAATTTATTAGAATATCAACCAATTTAATCTAATACAGAATCTATTTAACATTTCATCAGCAGCATTCAAGATCATCAAACAAATTGAAAAGAAAGTTCTATACTGCAATGTTCTATACTTCGCGTTCTCTAAATCAATGTGCTTTTACTGATTTTCGAGTTGTCATTCAGAGGTGGAGAAAAGTGTCTTTTATTCAAATTGGAATAATAACTTTTCAAAAATTTTTATCTTAAGTTTATGATACCAAGATAATTTTAGCAATTCGGGTTAGTTTACAAGTCTTATAGAAAAAAAAAGATATTAATAAAATATGTCATCGGCATCCATCGTCCAAAAACCAAACGTTTCTTTTATTTTGTACCAAATTTATCCACGGATCTTCTCTACTTTGTAAATTAGACATGCCTTCGAAGTAGACTGCATTGACAAGGCCATCAATCTTAATTAACAATTTCAATTACTAGATCATATATGCGTGATAAGACTGTTTCCTTCTTTCGATTCCACCTGAAAGATGGTAATGGAACTACTTGTATCTCTCTCCTTTTATTCGATTACTCTTCATAAAATTCACAAAACAACGCAAAGAATGGTTTGCTCCTTTTAGAACAGACATAAAAATCAGGTGAAGATTTCAAATATGAAGAAATGAATTTATTACTCTTTAATTGCTTCATTTATTAAATAATAGCTAAAATTTGAGAAGTTTTTTCAAACTCTTACGTTACATCTACTGACAATGCTCTCGAAATTAGCTGTTTGTCAAATAGTAAGGAAATTAACTAAAGATCTTACGTCTCATGTCATGGAACAGTTCACCAGGTCGTGGAAATGATAAACAGCAAAGCAAAGAAACTTAACCAACATGGTCTAAAAATCTGTATAGATTAGACTAAAATTTTTCTAATATATTTTGGAAACTATATTTGTTTTCCAAGTTCATAGAAATGTTGTAAACTGCATGGCACTGGTTCGTTTATAGTTACTCATGGATATTTATGGGATTCATAGATATGGAGATGATACAAATTTCGAAACACTTTCGTTTGAGTTTAAATTTGAAGCAAGGAAATAAGTAATAATGGATTTGAGATAAGTGTACCTTTTAGTGTTGCAATATCGTACACTGTGTGATGCAGTTTAACGCTGTAGTGTATGACAGCAATGCATATGTGCATAAAATAAGAGCAAACTTAGCTAGTACAATAAGAACAAGAGACATTTAACTTTCCAGCTGTTAGAGAAGGAATGATGTTGTCAGATCGCCTCTTGATGTAATATTATAGGCGATACCTAATTCTGATGATTCTCCACCATTCATTCCGAAGGTTATAGCATAAAAATGTCTTGTAGATATAATATGATAGAAAGGTATAATAAAACTATTTCCTTATTTTAAAACAGCGTAGAAATTAAGTTTTACTTTATTAAAAGTGTGTGTGTAAAAATATAAAAGGAAAATAAATGCTTCAGATATTTACCTAAAACGTTTGTTCCGTCTTTATATATCAGCTCCCTTTTGGTGATGTAATGAGTTTCGTTGAGAATTTCTCCAATATTCACAGAATCGTTTAGACCGGTCACGTTCAATATTTTAGGTTTCGCTTTAGTATAACTCGTCTCAACTTGTTGGAAACAGGCTTGCAGTAAGTTCTCAGGGAACATATTTCTGAAGAGGAAAATATTTCTGAGTTAAATACTAATTAACAACATAATGCAAGGCAAATAAACTACATTAAGTAACTTGAAACTCACGGCTATAAAAGCCATTTCAAATTTCAGGTCGACTGCACATTTAAATATTTCTTGGAACAACTGGTTAGGAAATAACTCACAATTCATGATTCAGAAAATAGCAAAAGAATTCGTAGCAGGATACATTTTGCTAAGAATATAGATTATTTAAATTTTTATGTGGGCTTTCTAGAAAAATAATTCTTATTAGTAGGATATTCTTTATTTCATCAAAGGAAATTTTTTATTGGTGAAAGATGGCTGTATCCTTTATAAACTAAACACAAAAACTGCATTCTTATAAAATTCGAAGTTTTGCTCTTTCTACAAAAAAAGAATTTGAAGTCAGTGCTTCTTCAGTAATTTATTTTTCAACCAATGTCTAGTTTTGCATCGAGAAACTTAGTATGGGAGGCTGACTATAGCTACGTTGGTATTATTTTAACAAACCGTATCTGGAATAATTTTGATCCTACAAGGATTGTTTTCCCCCCCTCCCCTTTTTAACTATTCATTAATGAAGAATGTTTTTATCGTCGATACTTTATAAGACACGAATAAAAACTTAAATTTCGCTTTATTAAAGGTTACACGTGACCAAAACTGCCCTTATTTGATTCATCCTTAAATTAGAATCGTGGGACAATAATGATCAATAATTCAAAATTTATTTTACTGTGCAATCTTTTCGAAATGCTCTGAGTATAATCGTATCACCTATATAATTAGCACCAACAAGCTAACATAACATATCGTTTTGAAATAAGCTAAAGCAATATCGAATAAGCAACATAAAGCACAACAAAGCATAGTATGAAGAATATTTAATAAGTTCCTATACAAATAAAAAATAAAGAAAAGGAAACTCGCCTTATGAGATCTAGGAAAGCATCAAGAGTAGAAACCTTCTTTTCTTCAGTTCCAATGCCAACATTTACCTTGATGGAAGGATCGCCAGGATGAATGATAAGAACCAACACGATGCCCACAACTGCAGCCAGGATGGTAGTTGAGAAGTAGTAAATCAGCGCTCTAGCACCCATTTTACCACTGGATTTGGGATCCAGTTGAGCAAGACCTGCGAGAAAAGTAAAATCATCGCCTTGTAAAATATTTTTTTTTTCAAAAATTTCTACTATTGCTCGCAGATGGAATAAAATGGGATGCATATTAACAAGTTAAGCCAAAAATGTTAAATATAATACAACGCCTTTCGTTTCGACTTCAAGATCAAATTTCCCACTTTCTTATTTTATCACAATTAAAATAATAGGAAATTTCCCAAGTACAAAATTTAAGGAATTTTTTATAGATGCAATAATCTTTAAAATATCATTTGCAAGCAATATTCAGCCCTTATCTAGCCTTAACACATGGGCTGAAAGTCATTTGTTATGCCACACTGATTGCGGATCAGTTTTCGTCGCGTAAGTTTTCAGTATTTTAAACTTACCTTGCTTTACTAGTGATGCGTATTCTTCTAGATACGGAACGCATAAAGTTTATATATTTTAGAATCTTAATAGCGCTGAAAATGTCTAGGCGTTATTCTACCTCAATGTATGCGTTCAGAAATCACATCCTATTCAGTAATTAAAGTATAAATTATGTAAGATTTTCTAATTATGCATTCTAAAGACATTTCTAAATATGCATACATAAGTTCAGTTGTTTTCAGCAAACTTCTAGAAGAAATGTAGCATGGAACTTCTGTAACGACCATAGAAGTAGTAAAAGTAATGGAACGGCTTTCGCCAGCCCTCACTGTGGGACCTTTTGAAGCCATTTCGCCGGTAAGCTTTCCTGCCTCGCTCTTATTATCGGCTCAGTCAGACTGCTAATGACATGTAACACTTTTTCACTGTTTTAAACATGCTAATAAAAAACTACTTTGTAACTAAACTATAATTTTCGTTACACTATTGAAGTGCTTTTTAAATTGATGACAATTAAGTTTATCACAGTTAAATTTGAGAAGCCTTAGTGGTTTGCTATAAATATAATATAGGGTATTACTAAATATCTTTAAATAGAAATGATACGCATGGAATTACAATTTGAAAGCAACTAGTTTTTCTGTACTACATATGAATGAATAAATTAAGTTACAGGAGTAAATCGAAACTGTATGCATATATGGCTTTGATAGCTAATACTTTAAAAAATGATAGTAAACGTAATGTAACTTTTTAGGAAATCACCCGACTGGTAATTAACCAGAAACAAAAATTGAAGAAAATAATAGAATTAATTCTGGATAAAATAATAAAACTTTGAATGCTATTTTCTGTACTTAGTGAAAAAATAATAAATTATATCACGTAGCTAAAAAATTTAAATGAATGACTGATATAATTTGCTTTACAGAGAATAAATATCGTGGTCATTTCAAATTCTATGTTTCATTCTTTAAACCTCGATGTAAAATAATATCTTCCCGTGAGGAATTACGATGTACTACGAGCATATAACATTTCAATCGATGAAATAATTCTATATTTACCACGATATTCTTCAAAAATGACTTCGGAAATTGATCGAACGAATAAGTATTTTATAACAATGGTTAATTTATTATCGGATAATTTTATTGATTTATTTCTTTAAAATCATCTCTCAAAAGAGATGGAACGTATCGAAAGTTTTCTTTAATTATTTGTAAATTGTCTCAGCGGAATTCGCTCTTGTTCGTAATAATGATTGAAGCATGAAAGCTTACCTGACACCATGGATGAGATAATAAGAGGAAGAATAAGCATCTTTAACATGCGCAATAGGAGGTCGCCTGGGAATCGGACAAGTTCAACTACGTCATCGTTGTACTCTCCTAACCGGGCCAGAAAACCCACCAGGATTCCGAGAAGTACACCTGCGATCGTCAACATGAGCAGAAGATTCGTTCGTAGCCATTTTATTATGGGCTGTAAAGAATGAAAGAACCAAACAGGTTAGCAAATTTAAAGGCATAGTTAAATTTCTTTTTATCACGAGAGGCAAAAGATCTACATTTTTTAACAAAACGCTCACAAAATATCTATACGCCTAATATAAATTGCCTAGATGATAATAAATTACTTCATATTACAATGCATCACTGTCAAGTATGATTTCTCGGTAATGGTTCGCTCAAGGTATATATTATGTTACGTAATATCGATTACATAGTATAACGTATCTACATAAAAAGGTATGAGGGTATTTCTGTGTTAAATACGGCTCTGTTATGCATGTAATATCGTATAACGCGCCCTTCTGCTGCATTAATAAGTTTAGATATGTAATTTACAGTAAAAAATTGAACTAGAAGCGAATAGATGCTTCGTTGCAAAAGAGCGATTAGCGTATTTAGAAGGCCGGCTAAAACGAAAGTTTCGCTTTGATACTCATTGAGGGATATATAGTGGAATTTTAAGATAAGAGAAATTTGTGCATTACAGAATCTTGTCGTTTATGTACAAATAAATGTAAATAAAATTGAATTATTTTATTCTGGAGAATAGCTAAATTTCAGAGCCATCCACAGATGCCATAATATATTGGCGCAAGACGCCTGGAGTTTTGAAATTTTTGGATAATTATGAGTAACCTTATAGATTACATTTTACTATATGAGTTATGGTTCATTAATCAGATTATCAATGAAACTGTTTCAAAAAGTTAATAGAAAATGTTAGACTGATCGCTGAAGAGTTAGATGAAATTGTAAATCCAGATATAAAAAAAGTAGATTTAATTGCTTTTATTGAGAATAACAAAAATTATATACATGACTCAGAGTAAGCACAAGAGTTATTTGAATCGATAACTGATGAGCTACAAGATAAGTTACAATGATTAAAATTAGAAGAACAAAATGCGACGAAAGCTGAAAAAAAATTGAATTAGAAATACCGAAAGCACAAAAACAATTAGAATAATGTAGAAACATTTTAAATTAGACTTTAAAAGTACTAGAAATTTTGCTTCGAAACCAGAATATTGGAGTATGTAATGTTCCAGCCTAGAACTTACAGCTAAATGTGTGGAACCTTGAGAACTGGTAAGCCAATAATCGCTTTAGTTCAGGAAACAGAGACCCAAGAAGGGTTAATTACCCTTTGTTGCTCAAAGTTTATAGTCGGTTCTCTCTCAGGATGCACAGAAAAACCTCTACTTGGGCTTGAACTCAACAATAAGAAATAAAACTTAAATAAAAAGATATAAAGATCAAATTATAAGAATTTCTAAATTAACTAAACAATATAACGAGCGTATAGCTTACAGAACCAAAACGAGGTGAAACAAAGTAGTATCAGGATCAATGTTCCGTCTTCGGGAACAACTGACTCGGAACAGAGAGCTTACTAAAGCTATGTTCAATAACTGTGGGAAGTAGACAGGATACACAAGAAGGGTATACAAAACCCTTTATTTTTCTCTATTTACAATAACTTCCGTACTTCGGAATACTTGTGGTCTAAACGTAAAAATATAAAAATAAAACTAAACTCTAATTTAACTTTAAAATAATAAACGTGGAAGATTGGCCTTATATTAACAGGAAGCCGTATGTAGTACAGAGAACTGTGAACACTACAATACGTTTAAAAATTATCAAGAGGATTAAACCTCTGGCCTGGAAGGCAACCAGCAACTGAGTAAAACTTCTAAGGTAAGCGGCCTGCTTCGACTAACTGCTTCCTCTCTCTCGCTTGGCAAAAAGCCACAACTTAAGTACTTGGCGTTCGCCAGACAAACTTTGCATAAATAAGTTAACGCTTATAATTCTGGCCGGAAGTAGAAAATAAGAAGTGATAGTAAAGATTTAAAATAAAATAAACGTTAGTAAAACTTAAGATCCTTACATACTTCCCGCCAGAGTTAATTAGTTTGAAACTGAGGTCTAAAACGACCTTGTTGAAAACTTTTAGCTCTAGAATCTAACGCGAGGCCAATCTTTTACAAACATTTTTCGCTAGAAACTAGAAATTTAAAAGAAAGAAATTTGTTTTTACAATAGCAGCTCCCAGGACACACGCAATTTTTTTCATCTGTACTGCATCTAAACAGGAGCTTTTATTCAAATCTGGTTCCTTCCAGAGATCTGGAAGGAAAACTAGTTTAATGAAATGTTACACAATGAAATGGCAAGTAACATGCATAATTATATTTCTCTTAACATTCTTATTTCATTCATGACTATTTTAATTATCTCTCCCCGTGCTCTCTGACATGTGTTGTAAAAGAACACCAAACACGAATGTGTTTATGTCTATACGTGTTCAACACTTCCTCCTACAATCAAAACACTAACGTGTTAAAAATTCAACATACCAAGACCTCGTAACACACCCTAATTTCAACTCTAAACCCTGAGGTACTATTCTGAAAGTGGCTAACTCTGAAGTGTAGCGTCAGAGAGCCTAACTACATTCATTCAACCTTTAACACATATTCACCATGATTTAGGTCTTTTTACAGTCACACGAATAAAAAAAAATTTTTAACATTACTTTCACTTTTACCATATCACGGTATTTCTTAACATTTAAAATAACAGTTCACATTGTATATAAGAACATATTAACATGCCGTTAATTTTACGCATTTGAAAACATACATTAGTAGTACATTGTTAACTTCTATTCTTTTCAAAGCAAGTGCCAATTCTTTCTACATTGAAATACTACATTTCAAAAAGTCTTTCAGACTAAAACTTCTTTCTTGCCAGAATGTTTTAAATAAAATTTATACAATAACTTTTTACAATATTTAAGTCTTTACACAACGCTATTATACATCAACTTTAGTTTTACGCGCGAGTAATTGAAAAACATAATACCAAAATCGGTAACAACTCATTTCTCGCCCTTTTGGCGATAAAGGTAGACCTCGCATGAGGTAAAACTTCTTGAAATCTGCCACTTGCAGTAAGAATGAAAGATTAACTTAAGTTTGCAAAGTAACATAAAATTTTACTTATCTTTGTGATATTCGGACATTCTTTTCTGGGCCCAGTCCTGGAAAGGTAGCGCAGATAGTTGTTTGATTTATCCTCCTTCTTGTGCGGGCTCGCCCTTCAGTGCCTTCCTCTAGAAGCTTTCTTTTTTCTCCAGTTCGGTCACCCTTGAATACCTTCTTTTTCGCCTCTGCCTGTGGTCTTGGCCGTTTGATGGCAGCTGGTCTTGGCGGAACCGGGAAACTTCTTTCGTGTTCCTGCTTGGACCTCGTTGCTGGCCGTTCAAATTTTCCTTGTAACTTTTCCTCCGCCGCTGGTGGCCCTTCCGCAGTTCGGCGACATTTGCTGCGGAGAGTCCTGTCGGATGAGTAGATCTTCCGTTTTAGAGCCGGGTTATAGTTGCCGTCATTTCTCCTGGTTCTCTTTGCATACGTCGTCCTTCTCCCTTCTTCATTCTGGGGGTGTTCGTGAGCTCTCTTTTCTGGACGGTGGAACGGCTTCTTTTTCTTGTTACCTTCAATTTTTCCGCGGGGAAACTTTCTTTTCACTTGCTCCTGCCTCTTAATGGCTTGCCCTTGTACTTGTCGTTTTCCACCTCTGGAGCTTGTGCCTGCGGTGTCTGCCGTGCCGGATCCTGCAAAAGATCTTTGAAAATATTTGCATTTTATTACGATCATAGTAGGGTTTGATTTGATCAATGTTTGCGGAGCAGGTTTCACCATTTCTGGCTTTTAACACTACTACAGCGTGAGTTATTTTTTCTATGACATATGGTCCTTCAAATCGTGGAAAAAATTTGGCAGTTTTATCTTCTGGTGCTGAAGAAAGAAAGTGAATGCTTAATTTTTAAAACTTCATCCCCTACTTTATAAGTTACTCCCCGTCGTTTCAAGTCATAATAAATTTTGTTTTCTCTGTGTGCTACTTCAGTATTCTTTTTGCTTCTTTAATTAGTTTTTTCTATATCACCCATTTTAAATTCTGGGGCTCTTTGTTGCACATAAAATAATTTATCTAACGGCGTTATAATCTTTCTGCCTAAAAATAACTCAGCAGGAGTTTTGCCCGTTGTATCATGTTTTGCGGTCCTAAGGGCGAAAGCAAATTCATTGACATAGTTATCCCAGCTTTTATGAAAATTTTTAACATAACTACGGATAATTTTCACTATATTTCTATTGACCCGTTCCGCTATATTTGATTGCGGCCGATACGGGACCATTTTTAAATGACGTATGCCCAGTTTTTGGCACATGTCTTCAAATATATTACTTACAAATTGAGGACCATTATCCGATATAACTTTTAGGGGCGCCCCGTATTTTAAAAATATATTTATTTAAAATAGAATCAGTAACTAATTTCGCGGAGGCTCGTTTTAAGGGAACAATTTCGGTCCATTTACTAAAATGATCAACCATAACAAGGAGATAGCGACTTTTATTTAACTGACTTTTTGGGAAAGGGCCCAATAAATCGATGCCAATTATTTCATTTGGAAATTCGGATTTAATACTATTTAGAAACCCGGCCGGGCGGAAATTAATATAATTAACTGCTTGACATGTTGGGCAGGACTGGACATACGCCCTTGTTAACTTTTGCAGTTCAGGAAAATAGACTGCCTCGCGTACGCGTTGGATAGTTTTTCGAATACCAGCATGAGAAGCTAAAGGGCTGTCATGGAGCTCCTGCAGGATATTTAATCTAAGACTAGCTGGGATAACAGGTCGAAATTCGTTGTTGGAATTCGTAGTTTTTGTATAAAATAATAGACCATCTATTAGTTCGTAATGGGCCGCCCTATTTCTTATCGCCACAATATCTTGGTGGCTAAAATTTTCAGGATCCTTTAAATACTCATAAATGCTTCCAAACTCAGGATCCTTACCCAGTTCGGTTATTACAGTTTCTCGGGAATTTATTGTACATGCTGTGAGCATTGCCACCTTTACAGTATTACCTTGTTCATCTATTTTAATTCTGGATAGGGCATCTGCTACGATATTTTCCTTTCCGGGGGTATGCTTGATTACCAGATTATATTCTTGTAGCTTGAGTGCCCATCTTATTAACCTTGGGGATAAGTTTTTCCCTGAGTACAATCTAGTTACCGCCGCATGATCAGAGTACACTGTTATTGGCGCCTTTCCAAAATAGACTCGGAACTTTTGCACTGCTAACAGAACTGCAAGTGCCTCTCTCTCGGTCGCGGAATAGTTTCTTTGTGTTTGATTTAAAGTTCGGCTAAAAAATGCCACGGGCTGTATAGGTGGGACTTCCTGCTTGACCCAAGAGACTTCTGCCTATATATTTGAACCAGTTAAGCGCTTGGCCCCTCAATGCGCTGGTAGCTAAGGTAACTTTTTGAAACTCGTGCACGGGGTAGAGCATGAAGTGGTCATCCAATTTTTGTAAAAAACTGGTTACCGGTGAGTTTCCATTAAATGTTGCTTCTGGTTTCATCGAAGCGCGCATGGTCTGGACGATGTAACCAAATCCTTCCAGGGCGGCAGCTGGCATTTCTGGATTCTGAGCCGTTTCTGCAGGCAGCACAGGTTCTTCTTGAAACTCGGCCATGGTTATTCTTCTTCGTTGGGCGCCACTATCAGGATCAATGTTCCGTCTTACCTTCTTCGGGAACACGCAAGGACCTGACTCGGAACAGAGAGCTTACTAAGGCTATGTTCAAAACTGTGGGAAGTAGACAGGATACACAAGAAGGGTATACAAAACCCTTTATTTTTCTCTATTTACAATAACTTCCGTACTTCGGAATACACAGACCCGCTACTTGGGGTCTAACGTAAAAATATAAAAATAGAACTAAACTCTAATTTAACTTTAAAATAATAAACGTGGTAGATTGGCCTTATATTAACAGGAAGCCGTATGTAGTACATAGAACTGTGAACACTACAATACGTTTAAAATTTATCAAGAGGATTAAATCCTCTGGCCTGGAAGGCAACCAGCAACTGCGTAAAACTTCTAAGGTAAGCGGCCTGCTTCGACTCGCTGCTTCCTCTCTCTCGCTTGGCAAAAAGCCACAACTTAAATACTTGGCGTTCGCCAGACAAACTTTGCATAAATACTTTAACGCTTATAATTCTGGCCGGAAGTAGAAAATAAGAAGTGATAGTAAAGATTTAATATAAAATAAAGGTTAGTAAAACTTAAGATCCTTACAAGTGGAACTTTAAATACTTGCTCTTCCTTCATTTGCATTTAACCGCGATTCTGAAAACACATGCTGGTTGGAAATTGTAAGCTGAAATTAAAAACGATAGGGAAGTGGCTTACAAATAAAATTTTCTCGTTTCAGAGTAAGTGTTTAGGTTAGGAAAAAAAAATATCGGAAGTCATCAAAACAGAAATATTCTAGAATTTACTGGAAGAAAAGGGAGCTAATATTTTATTTTCTATTAGTAAAGAAGATTTAAATATAATAAAATAAAACTGGAAATTTCAAAACATTTAACGCTTTCTGAAAGCAGTGGTGATGATCAAGCCGAGGACTTGACGTAATTTTTTATAACATTTCGTAATGCTTTTAGAACCTGTTATTGAATAAAAATTTCAGTAACAGAATATTTTAAATATGTAACGTTCTTCAGTGTAATTATTTACATTTACAGATTTACAGATAGTTCATCAGATGGTGCATTCCAGATTTTGCAAATTCATGCACCTGTTGGAAAGCATAATATTTTTCAATAACAGCGGCATAAGGTAATGTGCTACTGATATATTAAGTTGAACGCATATGAAATTGTTTTCTTGAAACATTTTTATTCCTTTGCATATTGGAAAATTCGGAGGTACATCATTTTTGTATCAAGATCTACAGTAATTAAATGGAAACTTCCTGTTACAGTGATTTCTCGAAATCACTTTCATCTTAATTAAAATATCATATTTTACTCATTTTAAAATTAATGCATTTCACATTAAATTTCATTTTTACACGCGTACACGTACAGAAAATGAAAAATATAGAACTTAAATTTGAGAAAAAGAAATTTATATCATATGGAATTAAACCTTAGGGTTGTAATTTTCAGACATTAATTATTCAATTCAACGAAAAATACCTGAAAATTTTTTATGATTCCTGGTTTCATCGTAAACATAAAAAATTATAACTGGGTTGTATTTCTACTAGAAGTAGCCCTGCCCCCGCAATGAATTTTATGAATGCTTACCATTTCTTCCTCAATTTAATAAATGAATTGAGTTCTAAATTTTAACACACTTATTTTTGTCAGTTTAATGAGTAACACATTTATTTTAGAATATACCGTATATTCCGGCGTATAACGTGCAATTTAATACACAAGATAGGACCGAAATTTTTTTACATGCATCAAAATGCTGCTTATTTAAATGAAATGACGTACTTTATGAAATTCAACATTTCCATTATCGAATAACATAAAGAGTTCGCCATGTTCGTCTTCCGTTATACCTTCAGGTGCTTCATCGAATTTTGTTGCATCTTCATCATCATTGTTATTTTGATTCATAAATAAATAATCATCATCCATACCATCTTTCAACGACACCAAACATCATCGCTGCAGCACGATTTCCATTTTCTTTGGCAAAATGAATGGCTTTGCATTTGAAACCAGTACTGTGTTTGTTTCTTTTCGAGGGAGCCAAATTTACCAGTAAAAAGAGCAACAAATCAACTGTATTTCCACTAAAGCAAATGTAATTTACAAACGCCTTCGATTTTCATTTCAAAATCTCGACCTAAAATGACAACAGAAAGAGAAAACATCTCACTCCTAATTACACGAATTCGTTCAGATTTGAAGTGCAATACATTCTTCTGGATTGAATAAAACCCATCCTCTTTGCCGGAATATTTGCTCCCTCAAGTATTAAACCCAACACATATTGCTCCCCTTATCGCTTGTCAGTGCGGTTTACCAATGTTCGAAAGGCTAGGACAAATGCTCGAATAAATGACGTCAAAAGATAAGAGCATTGCATGTGTATATTTTAGGTTTCTTTGTAAAGAATGGGATGCGCGGTATACAGCGAATATACCTAAAAATTAAAAAATGTAGCTTGAAATTATACATGCCCGTTGTACACCGGTGCGCGTTATATGCCGGAAAATATGGTATTTGCTTGTAAAGATAAATTGTCATTTTTTCAATCAATAGCTCAGTATTATGCTAATAAAAACTACTTTGTTACTCATAAAGAGAGATCACATATAATATTGTATATACCACATATATAAATCATAATATTTCACACAATGGTTTTACACAGTTATTGTGAAATTATACTGCCATATAGAATCATTATAACTACCATACACTTCAGTCGAAAAAGGCAACTACGGGCTTCATTCATAAGGATCCTAAGCATATGCAGTTATAAATTTCTCATAACAAGGTACAGAATTTTAAGCTTCGCTGCATTATTATGCTATTTAATAAACACATGGTTCCGAAGAAAAGAGATGCTACAGTTTCCATCGGTTTTTTAGAATTACACAACGTTAAAAAGAAATAAAAAATACTGAATTTTAGTCTGAAACTTAAAAAAGTGCTTCTCGTCTCACATTTTGTCTGGGAGCTTCTGTTAACCTGCCCATCATTGGGACTTTAGCGTTGGCGTCGGCCTTGGAATCTGCGGACATCTTTAAGCAGCACTACTACTCCTCAACCTGAAAAAAAGTTAACTGATTTAGAGCTAGAAAACTAAACCAGTTTTTCAGCAACAGTCTTTATTCATCAAATATTAATGTATAATAAACAAATTAATTTATAATTCTCAGTTCATGATTGAAAATATCTCAGTTGAATGAAAATTGAAGATAAAAACTGAAATAATTGTATTAATAAGAGCTTTAAAAGCTAAGTTGTTTTTTTTATAGTAGTAAACTAATTGTACAATTCAAAACAACACTATAAGAACTAAAGAAAACAGTACAGGTCATATTACGTTTAGTATAAACTTAATCTAACGAAAATCAAATTTTAATTCTAGATTCTTATAATATTTCGTTTAGTGTAAATTTAATCTAACGTAAGCCAAATTTTATTTCCAGATTTTTATAATATTTCTGTATTGTAGTAGAAAGCTACATCTAAATATCGGAAACATTTAAAATGGCCCTTAACAGATTTGCGTTTATTCAGTTTACTTTATAAGGTATTTCTCTCGCCTCCTGAGCATGCCTTCGTGGTGTAAAAGGTCAGTAAGATCGAAGCGAATTCGAGAGTCCGTGGTTCGAGTCCCGGCGAGGGCATTGCTCATTTTTCACATCTGCTGCTTCGAAATAACTTAATGTCTCTACAACTAATATACGTATATAAGTTTTCACAAAAGTTGATTTCGATAAAGATTAATGGTTTTATATTCCTTCTCCTCTCCCTTCAATTATTTTTATTCTTTAATATGGAAAGGAAAAAATATGGCAATGGTTGTACATCACGCAAGTGATATAAAATTTGTTTCTGAATTTCGTAGATGAGGTTAGATTTTATATCTTCAAAAAATAACACGAGATAAAAAAGCAATCTAAACTGCACATGATTTACATTCAAGTTCCTTTAAAAAATAATTTTTGGAATTTGACTTCCTACTTATGGGTTTCCTCATTTTGATACATTCTATTAAATTTATATTAGGAGATAATATAATCAATATTTCTTTAATAAATATAGTATATATATATAATGAATTGTATTTCCAACTGCATTCAAGTATCGCAAAAGCTCCATCCACGTAATGCGGCCATTAATGGTGTCCTGTGATTTTTATTTTTTGACATTTGCTTGATTTCTTTTTACGTTCATATTTTTAACTTAGTTAAAAATTTATTTTGTTAAACGTTTTTTTGTTTGTTACAAAAAACCCGGCCCATTAGTTGCTTTTTAGATCATGCTTTTGGTCTGCATATAATTCGAGCTGGATACTAACATTTACATAACATTAATATATTTAAAATATCAAGTAACAATAATTGAACTCAATATTTTGTTTTTAATTTGATTCATTAGACTTCTAGTAACTCCCAATGTTGCTAAAAGTTTAGTGATTAATTCTTGAAAATATAATTGTAATGAAAGTCGAATTACAATAGAAAGTAATCTGCCTTGTAATTCCTAAAACTGGAAACTTTTGTTCCATTCATCTAATTTCAAGGAAGTATATCCTTAAAATTAGATGATTTTAGAAAAATCGTCTAAAAATGTGTGAATAGCCTCTGTATTCACCTTTAATGTATACATAGCGAAATCAATTATGAAGCCATTAAATCGAACGCGATTAAAAATAATTCAATGTGGATAAATTACCATTAGTGTAAAGGGTTTCGAAAACCTGAAATATCTATGGTTGCCCAATTTGAGAATTTGAATTCATTGAAGGAAAAAGCAATACCAATTTCAAATTTAATAACTAGATATTAAGATAATTTTGAAATGAATTCAATACATTTAACAGACTTAATATGTCAATATTATTTTCAATGCTCCGGCAAAAAAGAATAACTTTTTTGAAACGCAAATGAGGCCATACGTGCTACAGCTTGAGATAGAAGTGCTATATATTTTCTGATGAAGGGTATAAAATTAAAACGCCATTTATAGACTATCATTAATTGACTCTGATAGTTGACCTGAAAGACGTCTTTCTAAGAAGTTAAAGATAAGCAGTAAATATTCGATAAGCCAATAGTAAGAATTTAAATAAACAGTCAAGGTTATTTTTTTTTTAGGTTTCAGAAAAATGGCGATTCGTTAACCTAGATATCTCGCACGGCAGGAAACAGGAAGATGGCGAAGCAGAGCTGAACGCCCAGATCATCAAGGCGCCAAAGACTTTCGCAGTTTCCTTTATATCATTCAGAATTAATGCAAAGTAAGAAAAACAACTTCCTTCAAGGCCAAACGCTGGAATCTATACGAAATTCATTTCCGTATCCGCAAAAAATAAAGCGACTAAAAACAAAAATAATATGCATAACTATGAACTAATTATGAACTTCGGTAAAACATGATTATCGCATTTTGAAACCATCAGGAACGTGGCAAACGTAAAATAATAGTGTATCAGAAGAATTATTTTTGTTGTTTAAACGATTGCGGCAAAGAAAATGAGGGATATCTTACTGGGTGAAGAGAACCTCTTTAGAAGGGGAAAAAAAAAAAAAAAACTGGCTTGATTGACGTTTAACATGAGGGAAACCGTAAAACATTTAGATTTACTAAATTTTGAGCTCGACTTGAACTATCAGTGTTTAAGGATTATTATTGCTCGGTTCTGTGGTAGGTAGTAAGAAAAGAACCCTAGAATCAGTAACTCTAAACATCAGTCGTCTTCAGTTTTGTCTTTACGTTTCCCCATTGCCTCATTACAAGGCAGATGTATGTTTCAAAATGCTAAGAGATTAGTTAAGTGTGCTATTAAGCTAGAATACTGGTCTACGAAAGCTCTATTTTAGAGATAAATCTTATTTATTGATTAATTTATGTCAATTAAAGTTTGTTTGTGTTATAAGAATACCTTGAAGAGTTTTGCTAGTTCATACGAATTCATCCGTATAATATCAGGGTTATCCATAAGTAACAGCTATAACGTGTTACTTATGGATTGCTTACGTGTTTACCTATTCATAGATACATGATGTTAAATATTAAAATAAAAGAGAACTAACTGTGCTCTAGAACAGCGGTCATCAACCGGTGGTCCGTGATAACCTTTTAAAATTGGGACATTATTTGTGTTTTTATGAAGATTCAGTTTAAAATTGACGATTAACAAAACTTATTATGGAATATGGATAATACTTTTTTTTTAATTTTAGCTACTACTTTTAGCGAAATTACTTCTGAATTTAACGACTTTTGCAGATGTATCTAGCGACATTTGAAAGTGAGAGCTGACATCCATAGAAATGCTGATGTTATCGATATTAGCGCAAACTGTAATTCTCTTTTCCTTTTGAATTACAAACATATGCTATTGTAGTCGCTAATAACACAGTTTTTTCTCCGAGTCAATAGGCAACTTGATGGATTTTTATGAGAACCATCTGCATTCTTGTTTATAATTCCATCACTGGAAGTTTCCGTTTTTGTTTTGTCTAACTGTTTGATCGATGTCGCAATTGCTGAGTAAGCGATGATTATTATGATTACAATAATTAAAAATTGGCGGCATAACACTATCAATTTATTAATATTGCTTTGAGTTTGCCTATTTGTTCTTGCTTTTCGTGAAGTTCCTTTTCAGTGATACGAAAATGTGAAGCTTTCTGTACAAGAAGGTTAAGATTTTTGTACTTTTCATGTAATTTTTCAATATGAACGAAATATGTGTAATTTGCTGATTATTACTGTATAAATATAATTTACCTTTCTTAAAATTCGTATTAGTGGTCCGCCAAATACAAAGTTTTATATATAGTGATCAGTGATGTTCTAAGGGTTGACGACCGCTGCTCTAGAACCCCCTGTATTTTATATGCATGCATCAAACACAATACTTGCCAATTTATTGTTAATGTTCTCATTCGAATATCTTGTTACCAGTATGCTATCAAAATAGTTTAGTTCTAGAGGCCACCTAGACAGGTGACAGCAGGGCCGGACACCCCGGACGACTTTTATAGGCTAATCGGGTATAGTCTGGGACCCGTTCCATCCAGAGCATAGCATAGGGACATAACATGTTTAAAACATAAAATATCCAGCGTAACGTTACCTACACAACAGGTGGACGTTGCGTGGTGACATAACATAGCTCAGCATAGACATGACATGGCATAGCATTTTGACATAACATATTGTTACTTTTTTTTTTTTTCTGACACCAGTTATTTTCTTCCTGCACGTTCGTACGGGGTTTTTGTGGATTTGGAGTGAATAACGGCGACACTACTTGATGAAGTATCGAAACACACTTTATTGGCCAGTATTGTCAGGATAGCTCCAAAACACGTTTTTACAGTCGTCGATGAACTACTGTAAACACGCTGACACGATCAGCGACACAGCCTCCAGGTTATCAGGCTATCACGGTGGAGACAGTTTCACGGTAAAGCACCAGAGTACAGATCCCGACTCTGCTTGGTTGTTCTCGGAACTCCACGTACTCTCGAAACTCTCCACGCTACAACTCGAGATGCATCGACGACACGCAGAGCATAGTTCCCGACTCTTCGGTTCAGTCGTCCTCGGAGCACTAACTGCGATACACTAACAGACGATGCACTAACTGCGATACACTACGAGACTCTTTTGGTGCACTCGAAGACCCATTCAGCACTTGCTGCCCGGCTGTCAACTCGATTGACTCATTGATTGACTGCCCGGCTGTCAACTCGATTGACGCAGGGATTGACTCGCTAGACGAGCCACCAACTCGATACTAACTATCTCGCACTCTATGCGAGGCACACACTCTCTCCCTCTCGACGAGGGAAACTCACTAAACCGACTGCGGGTTAGCAGGGTTTATATAGCCTTCTGCTCGAGAACGTTCTGGGCTAAACCGGTAAGAATTCATTCCAGAAGGTTCTCCAATCGTCCATGGTATTTGTCCATGGTAATCGTCCATGGTAATTTTATCGCCAAATATCGCCAAATGGGCGATGGGGGAACCCGGCCTTCCCTTACCATTTTATGGCAACCCTAAAACTGCTTTGCGGGGAAGCCA